GGCTCCCGGGAGGTCCTGGTTCCCAGGATCTAGCGCTGGCCAGGGGCACTCCATCCAGCACAGAGGCTTCCTGGGCCCGGACCCACCCCTGGTAGCCCTGCAGAGACCTGTCCCTTCCCTCCCTTCACCCGCCCTCTGCCCTTGGGCAGACGCCTGAGGCCCAAGTTGGTTCCAGGCAGCCGCCACCTCCACCTCCTCTTCCTCTCCTCCGCACCTCTCCTGGCACATCTACAACCCTGGCTTCTGCCTTCTCACCATGGAGAACGACCTTGTGCCAGCCTAGGCCAGCATCCCAGCACCCTTTTGTCCTTTGGGACAAGTTCTCCCTAAGGCTGATCCACACTCTGAATCCTCCAGCCCCAGGGCTCTCTGGGATGGGTCTCTCTAAGTGGAGCTGTGACCACCTGGTTCTTCAGAATTTCCCAGGGCAGCCAGGACACGAGCCCTGTCAGGGCAGGATTCCTAGGTGGGGAGCAGGGCTGGGGCATGGATGTCCTGGTCCTCTGCTGCTCGTTCCTGCTCTGGCCCTGGGGAGGACAGGTGCAGCACAGGAGCCGGAGGGAGACCTGAGCCAGCTTGGGTTTCTGAAGCCCTCGGGATTTTCCAGCACAGGCCACAGAGTGGTGGGGGTTCTAAGGAGGAGGTGGCATCCTTTGGCCCACCCTGGGCACCAGGAACCCTTGGGTAGCACCAGCTCCTGCCTACATTCCTCCTTGAGAGGGGCTTCAAAGTACACAATGGGAAACTGGTGGACAGGCTGTACACAGGGTGGGGTAGTCGTGGTCATTACAGCGTATAGGATTCCTCTGGGCACCTGGCCCTGGCTGGGAGCCACATCCTGCCCACAGTGCCTAGGGCTGGTGGCATGGGGTCTGGAGGATTAGGCCACAGATCTAGCTATTGGGTCCCTGCAGACAGCAGGGTCTGGCTGGGGGAAGAAGGGGCAGGCTGTAGGTTCATATTAGTATTAGCCCCAGGGCATTTGTCAGGAAGGCCCCCCCCCAGGGCTTAAGAGCAGACAATGAGATGTGGGTCTGGCATCCACTGGGGACCCCAAGGCTCAGGGAAGGGAGCAGTAGCTTATGGGACTACCTGAGAAGCAGGGGGAAGTGCTCAGGAGAGGTCCCAGCCTAGGTTGGGCTGTCTCCCCAGACCTTTCCAGGTCCCCCACCCTACAGCACCCCCAGAGGCCCCTGGGCCACAGTGGAGGACCCCAGTCTGTGGCTGTGGCCAATGAGGATCTCTTTCTCCAGGAGAGCTGAGTCGTTGCTGGGCTTGCATGTGGGGCTGGGGCTGGCTGGACACCAGGCACTTGCCCTTTGGATCCCCAGTTTCCCAGAAAGGGTCTTGGGCATTGGAGCTGGACTTCTGGGGCTGGGTTTGGACAGGTGGAGGCTTGGTCTTGTCTGCTGTGTACCATGCTGGGAACAGGGGTACGCATGTGCAAACCTCAGGGTTGAGGGCAGGAATCCAGGACCTCTGCCCTGCATGCCTCCTCCTCCCAGGGACTGTGCCTCAAGTCACCTGCCTGAGATTGAGGCCTGTCCACTCCTAGTTAGGAGATGTGGGTCCACTTGGGGCCCGAGGCTGCCCATGGTGGAGGAAGGAAATCAAATCACCAGGTAGCTGGGCAAAAGGCCACAGCATCACCCTTGAGTCCCCCTGTCTTTGCCCTTGTCACAATAGTCATCAGACTTTGGGTGGGGGGTGGGCATCTGGACCCTGAGACAATGTTTACACACATTTGGGGGAGAGAGGTTGGCCACCTTCAGGAGCCCAGGTGGGGCACCCAGGTGGTGCTGGACCTGTGCCTCCTGTCTGCCAGCTAGGACTCTCCTCCTCCTGGCAGCTCATGCAGGACCGTTGCTATAGCAATGGGGGAGGCAGCTGTGGCCTGTTGCTGCAGTTACAGTGGCAGAGGTGCCCAGTGGCTGGCAGGTGTGGGTGGGGCTGGCACCTGGCTGTGACCCCTGCTTCCAGCCACCTTTGCTCTGGGGTGCCCACACTGCCTCCTTGGACTGTCCTGGACTCCATCTGGCTCAGGGAAGGGGTGGAGGCTGGCACAGGCTGGGGCGAGTGTGGGGTGTGGACACAGCATGGTGTTCTGGATCACAGAGCACTATTGTCCAAGCACAGTGGACACTGCCGGGGACGGGGGCCCAGCCTAGCCACACACAACACTGCTGGAGGCCTGGTCTTTTTTGATGTGGGGGTGAGGACAAAGGAAATTGATGCCTCTGAGAAGATCCAGGGGGGCAGGCCCAGGCCCTCTGTCTTGTGGCTCTCAGGGCTGGTCTACAGGGCTCCCTAAGAACACTGGCTCTCTTGCACCCTCCCTGAGCTGGAAACCTGACAAGGAAACCTGGGCCCTGGGGTTCTCAGGCATGTTTCCCTGACCCAGAGCAGGTCCCACGAGGCTCCCCTTGCAGCCTGGCTTCAGGTAGCAGGAGGTGTCATTGAGGCCATGGTGGAAGCAGTGCCTTGGCCTCAGGGCTGGGGCTGTCAGATCCTGGCCAGGTCTCCCCAGAGGCTCAGGGCCCTGGGCTTAGGTGGGCTTCCCTTACCCCAGGCCTCACTTCCCCAGGCTTTTGTGGGAGGGGGGGTACAAGTGTGCTGCTGCAGTGGGAGGGGGTGGCCCTGGGAATGTGTGGGAGCTACAGGCAGGAAAAGATTTTGTGTGCTACAGTGGCCTCCAAGATCCTGCCCAGGTGGCCCTGCAAGTGAGGAGGGGGATGCATATGGGTCAGAATGATCACTAGTTGGCTGACCTGGCCCTGCTGGCCCAAGGCTCCTCAGAGGACCAGTGTTCCCCAACGTGGCAAGTAGAACTCAGAACAAGGACAGGAGACCTGATTTGGGGCACCAGATAATGCTTACCTCCTGGTGCCTGGAAGGGGCTGCAACCTCGGCTGGACCTGAAAAACCTGTGCAGACCCGCAGTCCTGGTTGGGCTGGGTTGGCCTGTAGGGAGCTCAGGGACGGGTAGAGCCGACACAGATCCCTTGTGTCCAGCCTGGGCAGGTGGTGGAGGGGAGGCCAGGCTTATGTGGTCCACCCTTTTCAGTGGGTCCTGGCCTTCGAGATCTTCATCCCACTCGTCCTCTTCTTCATCCTGCTGGGGCTGCGGCAGAAGAAGCCCACCATCTCAGTGAAGGAAGGTAAGGCAGCGGCTGGTCTGGGACACAGCGGGTGCACAGGGAGGGTCAGGTGCCCTCACTGCTTCGATTGAGCATGTGTGCTCAAATGCATGGTCCCGGCCACATCCCCTAGCTGTGCTGTGGAGGTGTGGCTGGCTGTGGCCACCGGTGGACAGCCCTGTGGCTGGCAGGCCAGGCACTCACTGTCTCCTCTGTTCTGTTTCGACCCACCTTGCCCTGCCCCTGCATGGTCTCTTGTCCTCTTCCACCGGCCGTGTGCAGTCTGTAAGTGACGGCTCAGGCGGCAGCCATGGAGGACCCTGTGGGTCTCCTGGTGCAGCTTGAGCACCCTTCCCGCTTGTATTAACAGCGCCCCCTGCCCCTGGCCCAGGACTCCTGCAGAGTTCCTTCCCTGGTCAGGAAGAGCAGTCTTACAAGGCAGTGGTGGGAAGTGATGGGGTGGTAGTGGGTATTGAAAGGCCAGGCCACTGGGCCACCACTGATGTCCTGGTCAGGCTGCTGGGCGTTTCCTCATCAGGGTATCTATGGGGTCACCTGGCCATGCCTTTTAGGGGTGGGATGCCTGGGCTAACCTGGGCTGAGTCTGGGCTAGCCTGAGCTGGGGCTGGGTCAGCCTGGATGCTCTCCCTTCAAACTCCTGCAGGCATTTGCACTCATTCTGCTAACGACCTGGCCTAGGAGGTCAGAGGTCACTGCCCAGTGGGGCCTCAGTGCTCCCCTGGTCCCTGTGGGCAATGCCACACCTGAGTTTTAGGGGGATGTGCCAGGGCATTGTGGCTGCATGGGCAGAGGAGAGAGAGACTCTGGGAGTTATAGGGGAAGGGATGGCAGGTGCCCCTTTGACCTCTGACCTGCTAGAGTCCTTTGCAGCAGAACTCTTGGCCTTAGTACAGCCAGAGGCCAGGTGTTCTGTCCTGCCACCTAACCTTTTCCTCCCTGATATCCTCTGGACTTCCCTTCTTGGCCTGTCTCCCTTCCTGACCCCTCTCCCTGTCCCCTCCAGCCTTCTACACAGCGTCTCCCCTGACTTCTGCTGGCATCCTGCCTGTTATGCAGTCGCTGTGCCCAGATGGCCAGCGGGATGAGTTTGGCTTCCTACAGTATGCCAACTCCACGTGAGTGACCCCCACCCCTGGGGAGCTGGCCACTCCCCCCACCCCATCCCAGAGGGTGACGTCCCATGGTGGTGCAGGGTCACGCAGCTGCTGGAGCGCCTCAACCGCGTGGTGGAGGAAGGCAACCTGTTCGACCCAGCACGGCCCAGCCTGGGCTCGGAGCTTGAGGCCCTGCGCCATGATCTGGAGGCCCTAAGCTCAGGTCCAGGCACCTGGGAGAGCCACTTGGATAGACCTACAGGTGCGCCCTTGGGAGTGGCTGGGGGAGGGCCTCAAACCCTGCTTTGTTACTCCGGGCAGTAGCCTAGCTCTGCTCCTGGGTCCCTGCATCTGCACGGTGCTGCTACACATGCATGTGCTCTGGGGGGCCTCGCCAAACTGCCTGCTGTGGTTGCTGAGTCTTGGTGCTCTACCCAGGGTAGTGCTAACCTTTCAGCTTCATCTTCCTGCCTGTCCAGTGTCCTCCTTCTCTCTGGACTCGGTGGCCAGGGACCCACGGGAACTCTGGCATTTCCTGATGCAGAACCTCTCGCTGCCCAACAGCACGGCCCAGGCCCTCCTGGCTGCCCGTGTGGACCCGCCTAAGGTGAGATGGGGCACACATCAGCAGTGGGCACAGCACTGGCCTAGAGCCACCCCCACCTAGCCCATGCCCCCCTCCCCAACCTGAGTTCCCCACTTTGTGGGGAAGGGGGTGCAAGGGCAGCCAAGCCATCCTCAGGGCTCAACTCCCAACTGAGGCCCCTCCCTCCACCCTCAGGTCTATCACCTGCTTTCTGGCCCTTTGTCTGCCCTGCATGGGGAGTCAGGCTTCCCTAGGGATCAGGTGCCTTGGAGCAGCCCGGGAAGCAATCCCCTACTGCGGATGGAGGTGAGGGGCCTGTCCCTGGGATGGGAGGTGTCAGCCTGCCCAGTGGGTGAGGAAAGGGCCCTCCTTGGTCATTGCAACACTTTCTGGGAGTTTGTGGCTGGCATGGGGATGGGGAGGAGGCAAATGGTGACATATGTTTCCCCTACACCATGGTACCTAGAAGCCCTGGAGCTGCTACAGTGGTTGGGCAGGGTGAGGCCGAGGCCATCTTGCCTGGTCTGCTCTTGGTTGGGGTAGAGTCCCTTTGTGGCCCCAGCTGTCCTCTGTACCTCTCCCCTCAGGAGCTGCTGCTGGCCCCTGCCTTCCTGGAGCAACTCACATGTTCCCCAGGCTCTGGGGAGCTGGGCCAGATCCTCACCATGCCTGAGGGTCAGCAGACAGCTCTTCAGGGCTACCGGGACACTATCTGCAGTGGGAAGGCTGCAGCTCGTGCCCAGCGCTTTAGTTGGTTGGCTGCTGAGCTCCGGAACCAGCTGGACCTGGCCAAGATCTCCCAGCAGGTGAGGCCCTGCCTCCCAGCTGACCAGGCTAGAGGTGGTGCTGGGTCTTTGAAGTCCTGGGGAAGTTTCTGTTGTCAGGCAGTGATGGGATGGTGCTATGGCTGGCCATCTAGTGTCCCCCCAACCGTGATTCACGTACCCTGTGCCTCTCCCACCCCAGCCTCTATCTCTGGCCTGTGGTCAGCCTTCCTGCACCCCAGGCTGCAGGCCTTCCTTCCCCAGCTGTGTCCTTTGATGGTGTGTCCTCTCTGTTCCATCTTGACTTTACCCACCCACTGGTAGCCACCCCCACCTAGCCCATGCCCCCCTCCCCAGCCTGAGTTGCACTGTGTGCCCCATCTTCCCCCAGCTGGGCCTGGATGCCCCCAACAGCTCCGACTCCCAGCAGCAGGCACCATCCCCTCGGAGGCTGCAGGCACTTTTAGGGGATCTGCTGGATGCCCAGAAGGTTCTGCAGGACGTGGATGTCCTGTCAGCCCTGGCTCTGCTGCTGCCCCAGGGTGCCTGCGCCGGCCGGGCCCCAGTGCCTTCAGCTGGTGGCCCGAGTGGTGCGGCCAATGGTACTGGAGTGGGTGCAGGTGCAGTCTCCAACAACACAGCAGAGGAAGGCCCCCCGGCAGCGGCAGCCCCGGCCTCCACAGACACACTGCAGGGCCAGTGCTCCGCCTTTGTGCAGCTCTGGGCAGGTCTGCAGCCCATCCTGTGTGGGAACAACCGGTAGGTCAGTGGAGGGTCAGTGAGGACATGTGGGACAGTGCTCCTCATGACCTGGTCCTGACACATGGCCCTCCCTCTTGACATCTCTTGGTGCCCTGCCTCACGTCTAAGCCCTGACTAGATGTCCACCCTGACTCCCTGCCCCACTCCTAAGCCCCCTGTCCAGACCACAATACCTCACCCACCCCTTATGCCCTGTCCCCCGGCCTGTGCCAGCACCATTGAGCCAGAGGCGCTGCGGAGGGGCAACATGAGCTCCCTGGGCTTCACAAGCAAGGAGCAGCGGAACTTGGGACTTCTTGTGCACCTCATGACCAGCAACCCCAAAATCCTATATGCACCCGCAGGCTCCGAGGCTGACCGTGTCATCCTCAAGGTGCGCAGGTCTGGCGTGCTGGTGCGTGAGCTGTGATTTCACACGGGCAGGAGCCCAAGGCTGGGTGGCGGGCTCTGCAGGCCTGGGACTTCTGCAGAGGTGGGTCAGTAGGACGGGGATGGTAGGGCTGCATTTCCTGCAGCTCCATGCAGGACACGGTGCACAGACCCTGGAGCACTGAAGTGGAGTTCAGGGATTCAAGGTACAGAGGCATTTGGGTGCTTGGAAGCCCTGGCGGGGCTGGTCTGCCTTGTGTCCCCTGTTGATTGGGCATGACTAGAGCAGGGCAGTTCTGGTGGGTGCGAGATACCTCTGAGGATTCCCAGAGCAGCATCCTGTGGGTGGTGTGTTTGGAGCAAGATCCTGTCTGGAATAGTGGAGGCCAGGGCTGAAAATTGACCTGACAGGGTCCTGGGCACAGAGGGCTTCTAGGACAGAAGGGCAGGAGCTTCCAGGAGTGCTGCCAGAGCAGTCTTGGGCATCAGGGAAGGCCAGTCGTCTCTTGGGGAGGTGGAGGAGCAGAGAGGATCCCCATACTGCTGGGCTCCTTCCTGGAGCCCCATGCCCTCACTGTCTGCAGGCCAACGAGACTTTCGCCTTTGTGGGCAACGTGACTCACTACGCCCAGGTCTGGCTCAACATCTCTGCAGAGATCCGCAGCTTCTTGGAGCAGGGTGGTCTGCAGCAGCATCTGCACTGGCTACGGCAGGTGCTGTGTGTGCCCCGTGGGGACAGGGAAGTGACCTGGCACGTTGTGGGGTGGGGGAGACCCTTTCTCCCTGGGATGGTAGGCTGCGGCCACCCTCTGAGCTGGCCTTCCACCCCCAGTATGTGGAAGAGCTGCGGCAGCGCCCCGAAGCACTGAACCTGTCGTTGGAGGATCTGCCACCAGCCCTGCGCCAGGACAACTTCTCGCTGCCAAACGGCACAGCCCTCCTACAGCAGCTGGACACGATTGACAATGCAGCTTGCGGCTGGATCCAGTTCATGTCCAAGGTTGGGTGGAGTCCGGCTGCTCGGCCCCCTCCATCCCACCCCCCCATTCTATGCCCAGGGCGGGCTCTAACGATACCTCCCCCAGGTGAGCGTGGACATCTTCAAGGGCTTTCCGGACGAGGAGAGCATAGTCAACTACACGCTCAACCAGGCCTACCAGGACAATGTCACCGTGTTTGCCAGTGAGCTGCCACTCAGCTGGGGAGTCCTAACCGCGTTCCTCCTGCCGGCTCCTCCTCCTGCCTTACCCAGTGCCCGCTCCCGCTGCTCTGCCCGCCTTGGCCCTGTCCTTTGCCGCCCAGTCCAGCCTTACTAAGGCACCGCCCCCGCCGCCCCCTTCCTCCAGCCCCGCCCACCTCCCTGACCCCAGCCCTCGAGCCCACCTGCCGCTGTCCCCAGGTGTGATCTTCCAGACGCGCAAGGAT